TTGGCTTTCACTTGCCCGTAAAAGTGAATGTGCTTGCTGCTGCTGCTGCCACCAGAGATGATACACAAGCACAGCATCGGCAACGGTGCAAAGCAACTGCTGTTGTGCTCAACCTGCTAGAATAACCTTCAATTTGGTTTTAAAACTGAAAAAACTAAGAAGTGACTGAATGACGTGAATTGGATTAAAAGTTGGTTATTCGATCAAAACTGATTCGCCTTTTTCCCTTCTCCTTAGACCGGCCAACTACTTCAGGTGACCTCTCCGGTGCCCTCCCTGGGCGCCATTCCCTACCCACCACCTGCCCCACTCCCTCAGTCTTCCCCGAACATCATCACCGATGACTTCTCTCCGCTGGTCAGCGCCCACTGCGACCGTGGCATCATGCACGTCACCATCATCACCCAGCAGCCCTTCTGGGGCGTCGCCCACTCGCGTGACCACCGGAAAGCGCCCTGTCTGATCAACGGGACGGGCAGCACTAACACCACGCTGAAGATATCGCTGCTCGCGCAGTCCGGCGATGAGCTCTACTGCGGCGTGCAGCGCTTCAAGGGCGAGCGGTCGCTGTCGCTGGCCGTGCGGCCGCACAAATCGCTGGAGCTCTCTGAGGACCGCTTCTTCTACCTCACCTGCCACACGGGCTACAAAAATGTGGCCGGTGGGACTTATCGGGTAGCGCTAAAGTTGCTCGATGAGGCGGGCAATCGGGTGAACCGACTGGTGCACGGCAGCCCTTATCGACTAAGGGCAGAGCTGTCGCCGAGGGACAGTAAGTGGACAAACAAACTGCCTGTCACACCTAATTCTCTTTCTTTTTCTCAAGGCATCACTACACTGCGCATGAAAAACTGCTTTGTCTTTGCCAAATCGACCGACCACGTTGAGCTAGTTGACCGGTCTGGTTGTCCGGCGGCCTCCGGCCTAGTGTCCGCCTTTGTCTACAACGACTCAGCCTCAGGTGAGGCGCGCATTCCGGAGATGTTCAAGTTTGCCGACGAGGCAAAGGTGCACTTTCAGTGTGACGCCCTGCTTTGTCGAGAGGGTTGTGATGAGCCGGACTGCGAGGGCACCTCAAAGGCACGTGAGTTTGAGCTGGACGGCTACTCTCAGGTGTCTGCCAGTACGACGGTGCAGATTAGAGAACCCTCCGATTCGGATGGTAAGTGAACGAAAAACCGTATCATTTTTAAATATTTAAAAACATTAACTTTCTTCTCAGCACTCACCAACCCCGACATTGCGGCAGACAAGCCGCTAGAGTGCACCGAGTGGCGCTTTCCCTGGCTGATCACCTTGTGCATCTGTCTGGCCATCATGCTCCTGGTGATGCTCCTCCTCAACCTCTTCATGTGCTCCAGCATGACCTGTCGGTGCATCAAGACGGAGGAGAATGAAAAGGAGCCCTCCGATTACGGCGACTACGACCCTTATCGAGCCGACTGGACGGCGCCCAACTCGCTGCACGGATCACGGTACTCGCTGGAGAATGCCCGCAGCGGTGCTCCTGGCGGGCGAATCGGGGGGCCCGGCAATGCCCACCACAGCGGCTACACCAGCACCGATGAGACGGTCAACTCGGAGACGACCTCGGGTCGAGGAGGTGGTGGCGGCGGACAGGACAATGACAGCTACGTGCCCGATCGACAGTACATTCACGGGGATCCCGCTCAGCAGAGGATGCAACAGGTGAGCTCACAGGAATTTTGTAGTTCTATTGTTAACTTTAACCATTTTTCATTAGAACCGCCCCCGACGACACCTGTCCAACAACAACAGCTCTTCGGAGGATGACAGCGACGATGATCAGCACCACCGCAACCGAATGAATCACTCTCGGCCTGACTCTCGTGCCAACTACTCACTTGCCTCCAACTCGATGCGACCAATTCGTCCAAAGGAGATTGATTACGATGGCGGCGGCGGCGGTGGTTACAACTACAACACGGCACATCGATACTAAAAATGAAAAAACTAATAAAATCAGAATCAAAAGTTTGTAATTCTCGTTGTAAATCAAAAACTGTAAACCAAAAACATTTCGATTCTAACTNTGGTTACAACTACAACACGGCACATCGATACTAAAAATGAAAAAACTAATGAAATCAGAATCAAAAGTTTGTAATTCTCGTTGTAAATCAAAAACTGTAAACCAAAAACATTTCGATTCTAACTAAAAAAAGATTAGTAGCAAGAGTACTGCGGGCACCACTGACTGATCCAGTAGTCACTGTGCAGGCGGGTAATAGTGCCATCATCCTTCAACCGCCTGATACCCTCATTGAACGCTCCCAAATAGGGCGAACCTTGTTGCAAGTAGAAAACAATGCTTCGTGGCATGAGGGTGGCCAGGTCACGTACCACTACCAGCTCGCAGTCGTCCCTGAAGAGGTACTGTGCGCTGTTGAACTCCATCAGAAAGGCAGCCCTCTGGCTTTTTAGTCTGTTTACGACGTTTTCCAGTTTGTACTCAATGTTCAGGCCGGCCCCGTCGGCGGTGACCGCCCGGTACAGGCGATCGGTAAGAGGGTGATTGCGAGAGCGAAGATTTTCTAGGTAGTGAAAGGAGCGCACCCAAAGGTTCAGAGATGGACGGCGGTTCACTAGATCTGCTACCGAACAGAGTTTCAGTGAGTTGGCGAGCTTTCGGCTAACAATGGCAGCCAAAGACTGGTCGGCAAAGATGGGCTTGCTGAAGGCGACGTAGTGGGCAAGTATGGCGTAATCATCAAGATCACCTAAAGCAAAATCGGCTTTCTAAAATAGAAATTGTGAAGTTTTTAAAGTCAAAACTGGTTGATTGATTGATTGATTGTTCCTTACACCAAAGTAGACGTCCTCGGCGACGCCACTCAGAGGTGCTTTCCAGTTTGCCGGTCGGTAGAGGCGGTAGGTAAAAGAAGGTGTGGAGTTTTTGATAATTCCATTGAGGATATCTACTGAAAAGCCTGAATACTTTCTGCCATCGTGAAAAAGAAAAGGGGCGCCCACTTTGGAGTTGTTCTGAAAAAGTATTGTTAAAACTATTATGAAAACTAAAAAAAGTTTTAATGCTTACCACGTAGGCGGCGCCTCTTAGCTGAGGAATCGATTCAGTAGTTGCATCAGTAGACGCAAATTTGACAAAAATAGTGAAAAGATAAACAAGAAAAAGTGTTTTAGTAAACATTGTGCAAGTCGATGGCAAGTCACCTGTGACTGGGGTCGTTTGCTTTGAGTGGCCAGCCATGTGGCCTGTCTTTTCCCTAGAGAATCATTGGCTGGAAAATTAAGAAAAGTGTGCCATTTGGAATAGAATGACCACCTGTTATGCCTTAAAGGTTTTTTTCCATAATACTAATGGAAAACTCAAATTCAAAACTTTTATTTTGCTCTTTGATTGACACATTACACTTTTTTCAGTTCATCCAACAAGTGTCTGATTGACGGTTAAAAATAGCGGAAATCAACTCACTACTAACAGAAAAGGCGGAGACGCAGTGTGCAGTCAAAGGAATGACCACCTAGTCTCTGCTCAGTACTTTCAGTGACCACCCCAAAAGACTGGCCCGCGAAGATCTCTTCCTTTCTTCTTGTGCCGTCTTTTCTGCTGCCTGCATTGTGCCACACAGGACACAGAGTGCGACTGCGTTCTATGGCCATCTGCTTCAGCAGTTGTAGTGCACTTGAGTGCTGCAGTGCAACTGCCACATGCAGTTTCGGTTGTTGTTGTTATTGTTGTTGTCATTGTTGTCACTCTTGCCGAAGTTTACTGTTCAAACTCTGGGAATGCTGAGGAACTCCCACCCCCGAACGCACACCTTTCCTGATGATCTNTACTGTTCAAACTCTGGGAATGCTGAAGAACTCCCACCCCCGAACGCACACCTTTTCTGATGATCTGCACAGACAATCAGCGTCCTCCTAACGAGAACAAGCTATGACCTCATCGGTATCGGCACCAGTGTACACTCAGCTTGGCAGCAGTAGCATCAACACCGCTTCTGCGGTCTCCTTTTCTCCCTATCAGATCAATGGGTTATCAACGGCAAAAGAATTTCATCAGCAGCAACACCAGTATGAAAACATCCTTACACCCAGCATGCTGCCAGCGGGAACTGTGCTGCACCAGATGCCCAATGCATTTGCAACGAGCGAATTGCCAATGGACGCCTCCTCTTCGGCATTCACTACCGTTTGTTTGCCCATTGTGTTCAATTCTCAGCAGTATCAGCATCAACAGCAGCAAATGCCTGAAAGTTCTAGTGCCTTCATGAGTCTGCCAATGCCTAACACTTTCAATGGGCATCACCATCACCACAACAATCATCATCACCAGCACCAGTTACCGGAAAAGGCGACTGAACAACCTGCTCAACAAGCAATTACTACTTACGACCTTAACAACTCCAGCTTTCAGCATCACCAAAACGGTGGTGTGCAGCTAGTTTTTCAAAATGTCAGCAACTCACCAGTTTCTACAAATCAAGATTCTCCTTCTGCAGCACCTACTCATCACACGCCACTTCAACCGGAAACTCTCCAGACAGGGAAACTGACCTCAACAGAACTGGAACAAAACCGGTGTTTGAAACCCACAAACAGATCAACCACTCTTTATCTGGCGGTCAAATCTGCCCCAAAAGACCAGTCAAAAACTGGTCAAACGAAGGCATCAAAACACTGTTCTGCTGAATCTAGTTCAGCTCAGCAGCCAAATATTTGTCTTCTTTGTCGTCTGTTCTTTGCCGATGAAAGCGCCCTGCTGCTGCACAACCGATCTCATCACGCCAATCTCAATTATCTGCTACCCATCTTGAACAAAACCAAAACTCTCCACGCCAACCACTTTTGCCAGTACTGTGCAGAGGAAACAACAAATCATGATGGTAGTGGTGGTACTACCAAATCCTTTTCCACTGCTTCTGCCCTGCATGCGCACATTCAAACGGCTCACAACCCCACAAAACCTCACCGGTGTCTGCTCTGCAAAGCAGTTGCCTTCGCCAAGGAGAGAGACCTAGCGATGCACATGCAACGACACTCGGGCGCCCGGCCCCACCTCTGCTCCCTCTGCGATAAGGCCTTTCTCAAAAGGTGTGATCTTCTCCGACACGAGCAGGTTCACGCCAACAGGCGACTTTTCAAGTGCCAACACTGCGACCGTGCCTTCAACGACAAGTCTAACCTAAGGGGCCACCTCAAGCGAAGGCACCCGGATTGATTATGATGGATTCTCAAAGTGGAGCCACCACTTGACAATCGCAGTTTGCGACATCTCAAAACATGATCATTATTTTTATTTTGTGCGTATGATGGAGTACTACTACCACTACTTCTATTTTTGCGTATCTCCCCTTCATTTTCCATTGATAGCCACAGACAACAAGTGATGATGATGAGTTACAGTGTTTCTCTGCCTTTGTTTGTTGCACAGTACAGTCAAAAACACGTACCGATTAAAGACTGCAATCAACTGCCCTGATGAGAATAGAAAACAGGCAGCTCTCTTATGCCTTCTCGGGAATCACCGACACGACGGTAAAACTGGGCTCCTCTGCTGCTGTACGATTCTGCTGTTGCTGGTACAGTCGGTGCAGTCGTTGGGCGAGCAGCAGTCGATAGCGTCGAGAGAGGTAGATGCTGAAGAGGAGAAAGAGAAAGCCGGCAATGTAGGCGAATCCAAACTGGACGACGAGGACCAGGTGCCAGAGGGCGGTGATGGCGCTGACCACCCAGAAGACGCTCAGCAGGGGGACGCTCTCGAGGACGGTGCCGTACAGGCCGAGCGTCGTCGAGATGACGGCCATCAGCGCGGTCACGAAGATGGTGCCCAGATTGACCAGCGCCGCTGATCGGCTCTGCAGCTCGCTTTGGTGGTGGCTGTGGGCGGTGGTGGCTCGGTGCACGAGAAACTGCCCAAAGAGGCAGTAGGTGGTGTGCGCCAGGAGGAAGAAGGGAAAGTAGAGGAGAATCTGCAGCCGCAGAAGACGCTCACGGGCGCGGGCAGAGGAAGGCGCAGTGTTAGGCGAGTGTGAGCTGCCATTTGTGGTTGCCGATGAATAAGGCGGAGGTGGTGGTGGCAGTGGCGGTGGTGTCATTCTTGTGCTTGAAACGGATGAAGATCTAAATGATTTGCTCTGAAAAGTTTACCGTTTTTAAGTTTTTTTAACTTTACTGTTGTGCGTCGTACTGCAACAAAATTGTATGGCACTGGTTTGGTTTTAAAATACTGGCTAAGATATAATGCTAGTATGATAGTTTCCTTATCAAACGCAAATTAATTTTTAACTTAATGATTGTGGGAAAAAATGCAGACACTGCAGTACAGATAACAACCAAAAGTGTGAGTCGATTAGAGACGTCCAGGTGATATGTGCCCGATTAAAAAAGGAGCTTTGTTGTGATTAGCATTTAAGAGATAACTTAGCAAATGGTTTTATCTGTAACTTAGGTTAAAACGGTTGATTCCAGCATTGCAGTCAGATCAGAAAGTTCTACTTCAGATAATCATCTTTAATCAAACTTCATCATAATTCATTCATAAGTAATCCTTACTTTCAGGAGATAAATAAAAAATAATTGAGAGATAAGAGACAAACCACCTTAGAGATAACTTAAGAAAAGTGCTGCTTCTTCAGTCGAGCAGACTGGGCTCCTCCTTCTTCTCCTCCTCTTGGCCGTCGCCGCCTNAAGAAAAGTGCTGCTTCTTCAGTCGAGCAGACTGGGCTCCTCCTTCTTCTTCTCCTCTTGCCCGTCGCCGCCTACCACAGCAGCCTGTGCCTCCCGGGCGAGACGCTCCTGGTAAGGCAGCAGTCCCACCCAGACATCGAAACCTCGGGCGACGGGGCCACGCGGATCGAGGAGGCCGAAGGTGTGCAAGTTTCTCACCATTAGGGCCTGCTCATCGTAATCCATGAACACAGTCCACTCGTAGTAGTGCATCTTCTCGAGGCCGGAGGAGGGAGAGAACTTTGCTTC